AAAATTTATATTTTTATATGAATTAATTGTAAAAAATACAATAAATACATTAATAAGAGTATAAAATAATAAAAAAAACCCCATAATTATAATTTACTGGTCTCTTTTCGTACGTGAATCATCAGAAGGGATCCATCATTGAACAAGTTGTATGGCTAAGAAAGATGAAGCAGAAGAGAGTGATGAAAGCTACGATCCAAATTCAAACATTTTATTGAAAATTAACTTCAACTTTTGACATGCGTGCACACACTTTACGTAATCAATATATATAATTAATACAAGTCTCCTTCTCACCTTTTCTTAGATCAATAAGGATTCCGCAAAGGAGTCCAAGTGTACTTGATCCTCGTTCGTCCTTAGAAGCTGCAAGTATTCTTCATAGAGCTTCTCTAGGGACCCGTCGCTGGTAGGTAATAGATTTGAGTGGCACTCCAAATCTGAGCCATTAATCACTAACTGATGATGATCGTGATGATCGTGATCATTATATCCCTCAAGAAAACCGGTGCCTTCAACGTGGCCGTCATCTCTTACTACATCATCAGACCAAGGAACTAGGACAACATTGTCCGTACCTAATCCACCCGCTCCTTTGCTGTGACTGGTGGACGCAGCAGCAGTACTTAAATTGTTGCACTGGAGGCGATGGTCTCGAGGTAGAGAGAAAGACTTAGCCCTAACGGGCTTTGGAAGATGGATCTTGGGTTTGTCCGGTTCCACTTTAGCTTTGTTCTTGTTGGCCTGCCTCTTGCTGCTAGTTTTGGCGTTTCTTCCCGATCTCTTCTTCACTTCTTGCAGTACTGGCTGCGATAATTTCTTATGGGTAATCGGATCGGTACCTTCGCTTATTAGTTTTTTGCTGAGATGAGTGTTCCAGTAGTTCTTTATCTCATTATCCGTCCGACCAGGAAGCCTACCGGCGATGAGAGACCACCGATTGCCGAGGAGTGAATGCAACCTGATAATTAAGTCATCCTCGTCTGCACTGATGTTCCCTCTCTTGATATCTGGTCTCAAATAGTTCATCCATCTCAATCTGCAACTCTTCCCACATCGAAGCAGCCCTTCAAAAACATATAATAAACATTTTTCTAATCAATCAAACCAATACTATTGTTATATATAAACTAAGGAAAAGATATCATTAGATTTAATTGCTTATATATTACCTGCTTTTTTGGGGAGTGATCTCCAATGGCCTTCTCCGTGATTTTGAATGTACTTAACGAGTAATGTGTCTTCTCTGGGAGTCCAAGGTCCTTTATGCAATCCAACCTTAGAACAACAAGGAGCTCTTCCCATATTTCTTAATTTACTCTTGCCTTCTTCCTTTTGAAGAGAAAGCCGACGAGGAAGAGAAAGTAGGAGCATATTAGAAAGAGAAGATATAATTGATCATGAGGAGTCTAAAGGACACGGAAGATGGTGTGTGGGAAGCTAGAACAGAACGCTTGTCGAAGTCGGAGCCTGGGAATTTATATGAGTCCAGTTTAATTTATTACATGCAAATGTAATGAAAATTATTCATCTATTTTTTTTTTTTTGGTAAATAACCATTCCTCTATCACAAGTACAAAGAAATGGGGAGGAGTTTAAATTTATTTGGTTTCCCTGCATTTTGCACGAATCTCAACGAACTTTCTCGCTTTCTGTCCATCTTCCGCATGATAGTTTTCACATACCTACCAGAACTAGATTTTATATGTTGTTCAATCAGTTACCGTCCATCATGAACATAATTATACCCCATCTTTTCTTTCCTTTTTTTGAAAATAATACTCATACCCTATAGGCACTTGGCCCTTGGAGTCAAGCGACTTTAAGGCTGACTTGCAGTGCATTTTTTCCTTGTTCATGGCGGGTTTGATTTTCACCTTTATAAACTTGATAAAAAAAATTACTCATATCCTATCCACCCATCATATTCGTAGATTGATTAATTTCCCGTGTGGGAGACATTAATTTCAGGCTCCTCCAATGGCGTGCGGACTTAGACATCCACATATACATATATACAGTAAAGACACTGACTTAGACATCAACGTGTATATATATATATATATAAATAAAAGAATCTAGATTTATAATATGGATTGATGTGCATTATAAAATATAAATTATTTAATGAAAGAAGGTTTATAATATTAAATAATCTAATCATAATCAAATGGTGAATGTTTTATAATTTCAATTAAGAATGGAGCCAAGGATTTATGTCACGCGAGGTAAAACTTTAAAATTTTTTATGAGTTGTTTATTAATTTATATAGTATAATTTATATTAATTTATACATCAGTTATTAGTTTTATGCATATACCACTTATAATATTTATGTTAAATTTTAAATTAATTAAATATATTTAATTATTTTTTAATAGTATACAATTTAAAATTATTAAATAAATAATATAAAAATATAATTTATTTTATTTATAAAGTTACATATATCAAATTAATTTTAAATTTGAAACATATTTATATAAACAAAATAGATTCAATCATTAGTCTAATAGAATATTAATTATACAAATAAAAATTATATATAATCAATATAATGACTTATATAATATAACTAGATTTAAAATATTTTTTTATATTTGTTTTTATCTAGATAAAATAAGTGTCCTTATAAAAATCAGTTACAAATGATCTCTTTATTTAAATCATAAATATTTTCTTTAAATTTCAATTATCCTTATAATTCAAATTTCAAAAATAAATTATATAAAAATATAAAAACATTTGTACCATATTTAATATTTTTTAAAAGCTTAGGATGGGCGGCTGTCCGCCCTTTACTACGCTGACTCCTGTCCCTGATTCGAATCATTTCATGTTAGAAAAAACTTTTCGTATATATATATATATATATATATATGTTGTTTGTGATACAAAAATGCTATAGCCCTAAAGTGGAAATCTTCCATTATGTTCTTATTCATATTTTCCCAACATGAACACATATATTTCAACTCTAAGTGTTTAATTTATTAAAAAATAAGTGTTATTTTGTAAGTTAATTTTAAAGATTAAATTTTAAAGTTAGTATTTAAAAAATTAATTTTTTAAATATATCAAATTGATATAGGTAATACTCCCTCAAAATTTTTTAAAAATAAATTATTCTTAAAGTACATAAAAAGTTGATTTGTAATTACCCGAACAAAATAATAATAAAAACAAAAAAGTCTAAGCAACTAGAACGTATATCATACGTTGCTATGATGCAGCAGGACTTGGTCCAAGTGTATGCGTAAACAATCCGCAACCTTTGTCAAACGCATGGTAGGAAAGAATGTTGACTACAATTTATTTAAATATTCTATTATATCACAGCTTAAACCCAAGTTTGCTCTGCTATCAGTCCATGCCATTGCAATTTTAGAAAGGGAAATTATTATTATATTTTTCAGTTCAATACATGTGTTTTTTATATTTATTTAATTTAATTATTAAAATATAATATAAAGTATTACTAATTTAATTAATTTTATATATAATATATTTATCTTTAATTTTAAATAAAAACAATAATTTTTTAAATAAATATATTATATAATGCATTAAATAAAAAAATATATTAATCAATTACTTTTCATAAAACCTTTCGTTAGTTTTACCAGTTTTTGGGCCTGAACCCATACAAAGAAAACTATTTCCAGTTGGGCATTCGAAGAAAATTGAGCTCCCAAATTCCCTAACGCAGGAAAACTTTCAGGCCTGGAAATGGTTAGGTTAAACCTATCTGTATTGTACTTTATACTCATAGTATCTTTTAAAATATTTTATTTTATAGTCTAAATTATTTTATAATTAGATTTTTTTTTATCCTATGCCTTTAGGTTACATGATAATGATATAATAAATACATTTTTTATAATTAATTTTTATTAAAAATATAAATATTGATTTTGATTTAATCAATTAATTAATTAAAATTATTTACATATTAGTGATATTAAAATATATATCAATTTCTATAATTTTTAATATAAGTTAATTATAAAAAATACATTTATTGTACGATACAAATGAGACAAATCCTTTATAATTAGTGTTTGAATAGTGAGTTACCTTTTAACATAAAAAAATTCATCCTAATTTAATAATAAGTATTATCGTCTAAACTGCACAATATATATATATATATATATTTATCTTTTTAATCAACCCATTGCGCACTATTAATTTGGGTCGTGTCTTTCCCCCTTGTCGGCTCCCTCTTTCGCCCCATCCTCTTTCAATTTCATGCTTCACAGTGTCATTTCATTTTTCTTCCCCTCTTATTCCTTTTATAATTAGCATGGAATAATTAATTTAAAGCTCACAAATTATAGATCTTCACTTCTTCTATTTCATAAAGTTCAAACTATCTAATTGTTTACACTATAAATTGTAAAAATTTAAGATTATGTCATGTGTAAAAAATTTTAAACAGATGAAGGATATTTTGTCATATCAAATATGTAATTCTGGATCCATAATAGATCAACTATCACTTTGGAAGGAAAGATGTAAAAAGATAAGATTTTATCTTTTAATTACCATTTTGAGTTAAATTGAATCTATTTTAACTTAAATTTAGGAGAAGATTTTAGTTATGGGTATGAGTTATTAGATAAAAAAAATAGCCCATGATTTTTGAAATTGCAAAATATGGGAAGTTATAGCCAGAAAAAGAAGAACAAAAGGGAAATTTTGGAAGAGAGAACACACGGTCAACGTTTTTTTTTTTCTTTTTTTTTTTTGGTAAAATGCATGGTCAACCTTACTTAAAACTTGCAAATTTTCATACTTTCATTTTCTTTGCAATTGCGTATAGATTTTGGATTTCAGTATAATTTTTAGTAGATCTAAGATGATTTTCATCATTTCAGTAGTCAAATTAGTTCATGTATTCACTTCAGTAATTTCATTTCATATATTGAACATCAAGCTTTTGAATTTTTTCAAGGTATTGTTTTTTTTTCTAACTATAATTAGTTTAATGTTTATAATAAGTAACATTTCATCATATGATTACTTATATAACGTTCACACTTCTTATCAATTTCAAGTATGTTAGTTTAGTCATTGTTCATATTTAATTTAGTGTTGATTAGGGTTAAATCTTCAATTCTATAGTATTTTAATGTCCAGATCTGTCTATAGTTAATAATTTAATCTAACAATGAACATGCTTACTTTTTCTCATAAGTTTACTTTAATTTGCATGCTATTTAACTTGTTTAGGATCTGTTAATTTTGTTTCATGATAGTATTTAAGTCCTTGGAGTTGTCCAAGATTAATTTAGTAACTAATTTTGCAGGAAGGCATCCCTCCCTCTTGCAAATCGTCTATAAGCATAGATTTTAATTTTAAACCAATGTTCTTCTCGTCATCCGCAAGGAGGTCGACCATGAGGGAGGAGAGGGTCATTGGAAAAACCCTTCTTTCTTACTTTTAGCAAAGTGAGTGGCACACTCACAACCAGATTTCGAGCATGTGAAGCTACTAGAAGATTTTTGAGAAAACACTAATATAATATAATATTAGGGTCAATCAATCTTTATTTACTTATTTATAATTAATGTATCTTCTTGCTAGTTTTTGCGTATTTCAAAACTACTCTCTCTCCATAGAATCTTAAGGATATACCCCTCATATCAATATGGTGCATTCAACAAAATTAATTTCTTTAGATATTGGCCTCAAGTGGACTTATTATACAAGATGATATTTACTTATTAGTAGATCCAACATTTGATTGGGTCAATCAGTCTTATTATTTTTATTTATCACTCCCTCTATTCAATTTTAGTATGTCGAATTTCTAATTTAAGGCATACAAATTTAGTAATTCATTTTTTTCTTTTTAAAATGTTATTTAATACATTTATTGTTATTTTATCTTTATTTTAAAAAAATGATAATGATAAAAATGAAATAAAAAGGTTATTTAAATAGTGAGCAATTAAAAATAAATATAAAATTTTATTAATTAATTATTATCTCTATATTTTATCAAACAAAAAAATTATATTTATCAGAATTAAACGGAAGGAGTTACTATTATCAATCGTTAGTGCAGCCTACAACTACAGGATATCATTTAAATTGTTGAGGTGAGATTCACGAGAACTTGGAAGAACGTATTAATTTGCTAACATTTCCATATGAGTAATATATATATATATATATATATATATATATGGTAATGTTTGTCCGTCTTACCTCCAAAAAATTAGAAGAAAAAAAGACAAAAATCACATTAATACATGTTTTAAAAATATGGTAGTTTAGTCTTTTTTTAATAAAAATTTATTGAAACGACGTAGTTTTATGATGATTTTCCTTCTAATCTTTAAGAGATAAGGTTGACAGGTATTTTTC